GTGAAACTCAGGCCAGACCTGAGTTAAATAGGGAGGGAGAAAGGGGGAGGATCTGGTGGAAGAATGCTTAATTTGCTCCGCCCTCTGGCCTTCATTAGTATGTAAATCTCTCTAGGGCCTGAGGCCTGTAGTCACACCCTCTACCTGTGCACTTTGGGAGGGGTTGTAATGGCCTATGTGACTGAACAATGTAGGTCCATGGAGACTGGACTGCATGTCAGGACCCTGGGTTCTGGGGATATGGCTGAACTCCTGCTGTTTCTCTCTTGGAGCCTTGGGGTTCCAGGCCCATGCCCAGCCAAGAACCAAGATACCCTTACGAAGTCCCACACTGTTTGACTATCTCTATTGAAAGTTCATTAGCAGACAACACTCAGTGACACTGGCAGACATTATAACAGAGCAGGAAAAGCCATGTTTTAAACCACAAGATGTAGGATTGAGTTTACTTCACAAGGAATTAGCGAATAGCTTTGGCCCATTGACTTAAATTTCCCACCCACTCCTGAAAAAAGTGAAAAATACATGGCTTACCTTCTATGTAGAATTTTCATGAAGATAAAATACATATTTGAACATGTTTGTGAAGAGTAAAGCACTCAATGAATTATAGTTAAAAGTAACAGAATTACACAATAGACAAACCTGTAGACGGAGTGATAAGTAACCTTGAAGAACTTACAGGAAGAGTGTATGGGCTCCGGTGAGTATTGCCTTTACCATGTGCTATAACAAAATACCTATATGGAGAGAAGAGGATGGTTAGATTAGTGGATGCCAGCTGCTAACTCAATAGAAATTAAAGTGAGGGGTGTGGAGTTGGAGCAGCCCTGCTTCCCTGTGGGGACATCTATATATTACTTAGAGCAAAAAAGCTATCTGTTTACGTGGACAGGCTTTCTCACATACTGGGAACAGTTGGGACAACAGGCTGGAGTATGGATAGTAACTGTGCCCAATCCAAGTTAGGAGAAAAATTATACCTAGCAGTACTTTTGAGAAAGCCATAGGATGACCTAGATCTGTGGTTTCTCAACCTTCTGTAACCACTTAATACAGCTCATGTTGTAATACAATGCTGCCACCCTTTAATACAGCTCCTCATGTTATGGTGACCCCAACCACAAAATTATTTTGTTGCTACTTTCATAACTGAAATCTTGCTACTGTTGTGAATCATCATGTAAATATCTGTGTTTTCTAATCATCTTTTGGAACTACTGACCTAGAGGAAGGCAAGGAATCCTTTCCTCAGGAAGAACTAGTCCTGGAAGCACCACAGCAAGTTGAGATGAAGCTTCTATGGAAAAATTTAGAGCTGGTGTCTCAGAAGGATGAGAAGTTTCTAGATCAGTACTCACTTTAAAGAAGTCCACTGGGTGCAAGGCACATTGCTAGATCCACTTATAAATTATTGTATTGGATTCTCAGTACATAATTTTAGGTGACATTTTAGCCATATTTTATTACTATAATAAATA